TTTAGTTTTTATAAATGTATTTTACTAAAAAAAATGCATTCATGAATTATAACAAATATAAACTTAGAGGACTTAAAATGCAACATCTTAAGATTAACTTTAAATTTTCATGGTATAAAGAGCTTCTTATCTCCAAAACCGAGAGAGAGAGAGAGAGAGAGAGAGAGAGAGAGAGAGAGAGAGAGAGAGAGAGAGAGAGAGAGAGAGAGAGAGAGAGAGAGAGAGGAGAGAGAGAGGAGAGAGAGAGAGAGAGAGAGAGAGAGAGAGAGACGCTCCGACGACGTCCATGGTTGTCCGAGAGAGAGCAACATCAAGTTCGGTGCTTGACGTTGTCCTCTCTCACGGTGGTTCACGATTTTCCGACGAATGGTATTAGGTGGCCGACGTGGTTTCGTGGGTGTTGTTCGTTGATTCATAGTGTTCTCTTTCGGTCTCTCTCTCCCATTCTGTCTCTCTAACATTCTTTCTGGTAGATCCCGACCGTGGTGGCCGGTGACGGTGGTTAATGACAGTTGTATGTCATCGATAGTGTGTTGAATGCAGTGTTCCTCTCTCGTTCTGTCTTTTTCTAACTCAGTGGTAAAATCCAACGATTAGTGTCCGACAACGGTGGAAGGTTGCCAACAGTTGGTTAATGGTGGTGGGTTAATTGTTGTTTTGAATTTTTGTGTAAAATTTTTAACGTAGAATGTCTTCAAAACTAAAAAGTGATCAGATCATAGCATCATATGCATTGGTTAATTGTCTTATTGTTTGCATCACATTATTCAATGTTTTGAAAGAATATATTTTGTATGGATTGGTTGGAATTATGAAAATGTGTTATAAAATAAATAATATAAAATCGGTATCAACCATATAATGATTGAGGGGGTAATGCTAGGAAAAAATGGGTATAGATAACAGTACCTAAATTTTAAAGGGAAATTAAGTAATCTAATTAATTTTTGGGTGTTTTTTAAAAATATAATCTTTTTTTTTTTTTGAAAATGACCACTTGATCTGAAATAGGATATTCTAGAACATATTTCGGACTCATTTTCAGGTGGGCAGACCCATTACCTTGCCTTTGGAATTCCCATTCCGAATAAACCGTTCGTGTTCCCGATCGGGAATTTGAAATTCAAATTCTGGAATATAATCTGAAAAAATTCGGACCCTTGACTTCATTCCGGATCTTGCTCCGACTTTCCCATTCAATTCTGACATGCGACCCCGATCCTGATTCCGATCTCCGACACGCAACTCGACATGGAAAAAGACCACTACGACTCCGGTATTTTACGGGTATGTTCTTCACTTCAAAAACCTAGTTTGCTTGTTTGTATAACGTGCTTATTCATCTACAATTACTGTTCTGGAATGTGTAGAATACCTCCGGAATGAAGTGAAAATGTTCCGGAGTTCAAATTACAGATGTCATTGTTGTAGAACCAACTGAAAAGCAATTTAGATGTTTGGGTATTGTTAATTTACATCGAAATTGTAACACCCGTTCCAGGTATGAACAATTTTTAAATATTAAACCTTATTTTTGGGTGGCCACGATGTGGTGGAGTTTCATGACGGTATTGATTTGGGTTGCGGATTTAAATGACCCGCCACGATGTGGCCATGGGTGCCACGACGTGGCAGGTGTTTTTAGAGAAATACCCTAATCTTTGGGCTTTGGGCCTTATTTAAAAAACATTAAGGCTAGGGTTTCAGGATCATTCAGCCTCCATCACCCTCTCAAGCTCAGAAACCCTAACCCTAGCCTTCATTGTAATTGTGAATTCATTCTTGGTGTTTTTGGTGATCTTTGGAGCAGAAGGAAGCCCTTAGTGTGGTAGTTTACCTTGCAAGTGTCATCTACATCAGCTAGCACATCTTCTGGACCTTGGTGAGTGACCAAGACCCAACCTTTTCCTTGCTAAGTTGCTAGATCTTTAGATTTTTTCCCTTTTCTTCATGTCTTGATGGGTTTGAGCTGTGAGATCTCATAAATTTTGCAACTTTATGAATCTACAGATAGTGGCATAGCATACAAGCACATAAATCTCAACAGATAATGACATACCAGATAATTATCACAAAGACAATCATCTCTACTGTAAACAACTACTAATGGGCCGGCATTGGTGCCTTCGACCCATTCATACCGGGAAGGTAACTCACATCAACTGTGTTTGCCAAAATCGTACTCCTCGGATGGCTCGGGACTCCTCTCTCTAAAGCATAATAAGTCCCCTGGTTAGTTATTGGGTCCAAGTATGACTCCCTTATGGCCCAACTTCTAATTCATGACTCGAAGCAAGGTCCCCTAGTCCTTGCCCTAATGGGCCTCTTCCCCCAAGGTTCAACCTATAATCAATTTAAGGCCCAAATCCATTCCTTTAAGCTTTAAAGCCCAATAAGGCCCAATACCGTAAATCCAAGTCATATGTCCAGAGGCCTTACTCCACAGTGGGTCATGAGGCCCAACAAATCCAAGCCCAATCACCCAAGGCCCATAAACCACGTCAACCACTATGCATGCGTACGCGCGACGTACCTGGCACGTACGCCCGACGTACGTTGGCCTTAACCAAAAGCGGGAAACTGACTCGGAACGCGTAGCGTACTTAGGGGGTACGCCCAGTGTTCCTGCCAGTCACCCTAAAGTCCTTCTTTTGACTTAATCCATTAAGTCCCAACATCCAGAACATAGATCTAGGCTCCTAACAACGTCCTTAACAATAAAGTTATGAACTTTATGCTTTTGCATGCATGAATAGGGATTAAGACACCCATTAAGTCCATAAGCTCACTTTGTGGCCATCTATCACTTGCATGGTTGGGGCTAAACCATCAAGATCTGATTTTTATGGTCCTAAATGCTTCCAAGAGCTCAAAAGGACAACTCTTATGGACAGATTCTGCCAAAACTCAAAGGACCTCAAGTATGGGACCAAAATGTGACATAAAACACCCCAAAACTACATCTAAGCATGCAATGGTCAAGGTTGGAGCTTGATACCTCAAATAAGTCAGAAAAGATGCCAAACTTTTGGATCTACAAGCTCTCTTCAAGTCCTTGCTCCTTCAAACTCCTTGCTCTTCAAAACCACCAAAACAACACCAAAATGCTCAAAGTAAGCTCAAGATACATGCAATGGAGTTAGGGTTCGAGTTGGGCATTGTGAGGACAAGGGAGGCTGAGAGGATAAGGGTTTGGAGGGTTATAAGTTGCTTAGATAGAGGGCAAACCCTAAAACTTAGGGTTTTCATCTGATCAACTTATGCCCAACGTATGTATGGGTACGCCCAGCGTACGCATGGGGACTCCCCGCTCCGCGCCTCATATATGTACGCCATGCGTACACCTTGTACGCCCAGCGTACATCTCCGCCCCAAAATCCCAACATTTCATAATTATAACTTGAATAGAAAGCAACATAATACCTGACAAATCCCGGGCGTTACACAAAGACTCACTCTTGATTAGTTTGTTTTTTGTGTAAATTTTCATATTTGTTCTATCTATGTCTTCCATTAAAAAATAAATAAATATTCAAGTTTAATATCGTTTTCTAAATTTTCATAGTCATTTTATCTATGTCTTCCATTAAAAAAATATATTTAAGTTTAATATTGTTTTCTAAAATTTCATAGTCGTTACATCTGTGTTTTCCATTAAAAAAAATACTCAAGTTTAATAATATTTCATATTGTTTTCTAAAATTTCATAGTCTTTCTATCTATGTCTTCCATTAAAAATAAATAAATACTCAAGTTTAATATTATTTTTTAAAGTTTCATAGTTGTTCTATCTATGTCTTCCATTAAAAAAAATACTCAAGTTTAATATCGTTTTCTAAAATTTCGTAGTCGTTCTATATATGTATTCCATTAAAAAATATATTCAAGATTAATATTGTTTTCTAAAATTTCATAGCCGTTCTATCTACATCTTCGATTAAAAAAACACTCAAGTTTAATATTATTTTGCATTGTTTTCTAAAATTTCTTAGTCATTCCATCTATGTTTTGCATTAAAAAAATACTCAAGTTTAATATTATTTCATATTGTTTTCTAAAATTTCATAGTCGTTCTATGTATGTCTTTTATTAAAAAAATTAAAAAAATATTCAAGTTTAATATTGTTCTCTAAAATTTCCTAATCGTTCTATCTATATCTTTCATTAAAAAAATACTTAAATTTAATATTGTTTTCTAAAATTTGATAGTCCTATAATTTCCCTTAAAAAGAAATACTCAAGTTTAATATTGTTTCATCATTTTTTTTTCAAGTCCAATAACATATCTTAGAGGCTGTTTGGTAGCATCTGGATTATTCATATCTAGATGATGCGGAGGTCTGTATAAATCTATATATGAATGATAAATTGATGTTTGGTCATCTGAATGTCTGTCTCTTAATGATAAAAATGATCATTTTAACATTCTAAATTATTTGTGTGATTTGACGCCAACATCTCAATTAGATATTTTTTTAAATGACAAAAAAGAAAACAATATGTTATAAAAAAACCATCATAATCTTGTGCATAACATAATTAGAATTTAGAAACAAAACAAACAAGAAACGGTTACAAGATCACCGCAAAATCCATTTACAATTCACAAGAAATATGGAATAACATCTAAACAACTAGTGAAATGCTTCTTTCTTACCTATTGCTTCTCATTTGATGAGGATTTATTAAGAACCACATGTTTTATAGCATGATCTTCAGGGGCAATCATCCATCTTTTTGCAAATCTTGTCTGCATAAGCATACCAATAAAGCTTCCTAATGTTCCTAATCCAATTTGAAGTATGAGAGCAGAAAGAATCTTCATAACACAATCAATTTTCTTAAGAGAATCCTCATAACACAATCACTTTTCTTATGAATCTTGATCTCGTTTTCTTCCTTTTATTTTTTTGAAAACCATAGGATCTAAACACTACAACTCAGCAAGAACACAATGCAAACAAAAAGATAACATGTTTTAGGGCTTGGCAAAATCAATTTCACACAAATCCAACAGCAAAAACACAACAAGAAATTGCACAGATAAAACCGAATCGGAGCCTGAGAAAGGGGTTGAAAAATCGATCAAAAAGCTTAAAAAAATCGACAATAAAGAAACAAAGTAGAAAACTTACCAGCGAAGGGAGGCGACGAAGGTGGAGGCAAAGCGGTGCTGCCGGAGGTCCGATGGGAAATTGAAAATTGACGCCTGAGAAAGGGAGATTGAGGGAATGTTGCTCGATGGGAGAAGAGGGGGAAGAAAAAAGTGGTGGACACTCCTTTTGTTTTTAGGGAAGGGTATCAAATTGAAAACTTTTCATTCAGACTCCATCTATCTGACCGATTAAGAGGCTAAACATATTTCAACCAAACTCTCTGAATCTGAACGATCCAAAGTCACCTCTTTATGGGATCATTAAGAGCCCAAACAAACAGCCCCTTAATAATTCATGTATCCATGTCTTGTATTTGTGTCAACACAAATTTACACAAATTGTAAAACGTGTTTAGATATAAAACACAAACACGACACATTGATAATTCATATAACACATGACACAACACGTTTTTAACCGTTACACGAAAACACAAATACTATATTTTACTACAATAATTGTCGTATATGTGTCGCACACAAAAAGTTATCCGGGTCTTATACATTTATAAGGGTAAACTCATGTTTAGCCCGTGTAAGACCGTAACATAAATTTTAAATTTGTGTTGATACGAATAAACATGAAACATAAATTTACAAAACCCATACACGAAAAAACACATGTCGGCTGTTGTGTCATGTAGCAAATTAAAAAGTCTAATTGTATTGTATTTAGATTAGCATATTGGATCGCTTGTTGTCAGCTATATAGGATATCGAGGTCATTCACATCTTTTGCAAAAAAACAAACTAATCAAGAGCGAGTCTTTGTCCCCGTGGTTCCAACTTTTCGGGTGTCATAATAAACTGAAATTCTTACTATAACTTGTGGCATGCTTAACAAGAAAACTAAATGTCATCACAAGGTAAAAAATACACATAATTTCACAAAAATTGTATCAGAATCTTCAAATCTTGTTCCCATATAACTCAACTATCATCAAATATTCATTTCAACAAATGCCTCGATGATCAGTCAGTCATCTGAGGGTTGACTTGTATCTCTGCTCTTACAGCCACTTCGCGTTCAAAGTGCTGAGTAGCTTCCTCACAAGACAACAATTGTTGCATTAACATTGTCAGTTTGGCCATGTTTTCTTCTTTTATATGTTCCGGAACCTTCTCTTCATACCCTTTAGCGCTCATCGCCTTGTTCAAACTATCCTTTTGCCTGGTCAAAGTCAAACATGGAAGACACATCATTTTCTAATATATGTTGTTGACTTAATACAGAAAGAACATGTGTTGATTAATTTGCTTACTTTTGTAACTCTGTCAACTTTGTATTGAGCTTTTCACGTTCTTTTTTGACATCAATGGCTCCTTGAAGCTTTAGATAAACAGAAAGTGATTGGTTTACAACTGATACTGCACATCCAGCTGGAGCAGCATCATTTTCAGTCAGAACCTGAAAACACAATTTTAACCCCAAAATGTCAGAGATTACAAGGTTTTTTATGCGGAGGGTATTTTCGTCTTTTTCACATACCGTGAATGAGGATAAGTTGGCTAAGGTTGAAACCTCCATTTCATGGCGTCTCAGAAAGTCTGTAGTTTGTTCCTTTCTAGAAACTGCAAAGCCAGCTCGCCTGTCCCCCAAAAAACAAAAAGAATTTTCTTTTATGAGAAAATATAAAGGGAAAACTCCATAAAAGTCCTTATATTTTGGACTCATAATCAATTTAGTCCTTATATACTTTTTTTATTCAATTAAGACCCAAAAATCGGCAATCGTATTCATTGTGACCCTTTTACCCGGTCAACAGGTCAGCCCACTTTCAAATTTTACACTTTTGGGCTGGTTTTTAAATTTTATTACAAATTTGGTCTAAAATTTACACTTTTGGCCCAGATTTCAAAATGTTATTACGAATTCATCCTAAATTTAGTTTTTTTACATTTTGTTTTTCAAAATTTTGCTCCGAATATGTTTTTTTGCTGTATAAAATCATATTTACACAAAAAAAACATATTCACATAAAAAAAATCTTCTTTTTTCTATATAAAAACATTTTTATATGAATAGAACAAAAATTTACAATTTAAAATTATTGAAACTAACCGATTATAGCATTGTATTGGTATAATTATATAAAAGATATTGCTATAATTATTTTCCAATACCTTTCATTTCTTTCCTGTGCAGGCATGTTTGCCCTAATTGATCTGAGTGATTTTACAGCAGACTCAACCACCTCCATCTCATATTCCACCTTTTCATTACTCCATGACTGTAAAAAAGTGAAAAGTAACTAACATTTTACCTTCATTTCATCTCATATTAAACAATTAGAAAAATGAAAAATCTAACCTCAACAACCGAAGGGTAATCACAAATCATAATAGACTTCTCTCTTTCACAATGCTTAGGCGAAGGAAGTCGTTGCCACAGCTCTTCAGTAACAAAAGGCATAAACGGATGAAGCAATCTTAACCCAGTATCCAAACACACCCACAAAGTATCTTGTGCATGAGCCTTTGAAGCTGCCATTGATGCATCATCACCAAAGAAGTAAGGTTTGATTACTTCAATGAAGATATCACACAGCTGAAACTGCCACCATGAATATACTGCAGTTGATGCGTCTGAGAATTCATAGGATTCTAATGATGATATGGTTTTTGATGTGGCTTTGTTTAGAACTGAAAGAATCCATTGGCAACTGAAGGGCATGTTGTTTGGGTGTATTTTTGAGGGAGGGGTATAATTGTCACCAAGTTTTGTCATTGCAAAACGTACTGCATTCCATAGTTTGTTGCACCATTGTCTGTATCCCACCACACGTTGTATGTCTAGATTGATTTTATCAGACTGGAATTATGCATAAGGAATAATGTTAGTTTGAATACAAACAACTCAAAAATAGATGATAAGGGCATTTTGGTCTTTTTGTACCTGAGCAGTGTATGAGACAAGGGCAAATCGAAGGGCATCTGCCCCACATTCTGGAATGCCATTAGGAAAATCCTTTTTTTGCCCCTCAGTGGCAACCTTTAATTCATTAGGGTCCAAATTACCCTCCCCTAGTCTCTTGTGAAGACCCTCTAAGGTAATTCCACATATGACTTCAATAGGATCCACCACATTGCCCAAAGATTTTGACATTTTTCTCCCATGTGCATCACGAATCATGGGATGTAAATACACCTATACAATAATTATTAATATCTTGTTTTAATTCTAAAAAAACAGTCAAATAATTAAAACAAAATCATGTTCTTTGTGCTAAGATATTAGTCATAAGTTCAAGAAATAGCAGTGCCTTTTCATAATTTGTGTATTACTGAATTGTACTTTCAACTTAAATCTTATTAAGGCATTGTACTTAATATTACATTATACTTTGAAAAATCTACCCAGTTATAGTAGTGAGTTTAATGTCATTGCTACAACTGGATATATTTTTTGAAGTACAATGTTGTAATAAAAAGAAGGATTAATTTCAAAAACGACCTTATATTTTATGTTTTTTTCCGGATTAAACCTCAAAAAAATTGCCTAAGAAAACCTTGTATTTTTTCATTTTTTCCGATTTGGCCCTTTGTCATTTTTTTCCAAAAAAAGTTGTAAAATGTAAGGGAAGCATTTAGAAGGTTGAGGGGTTTTTTTGGAAAAAAAAAAATACAAAGTTGAGGGCTTTTTTGGAAAAAATACAAAAAATAAATTTGAGGTTTAATCCGGAAAAAAACACAAAATATAGTCTTTTTTGAGATTAACCTATATTTTGTGTTCTTTTCCGGATTAAACCTCAAATTTATTTTTTGCCTGAAAAAGACCTTGTATTTTTTCATTTTTTTCGAAAAAACCCTCAACTTTGTATTTTTTTCTTAAAAAAACCACTCAACCTTCTAAATGCTTCTAAATAAACCCTCAACTTTGTATTTTTTTCTTAAAAAAACCACTCAACCTTCTAAATGCTTCTAAATAAACCCTCAACTTTTTTAGTTTTCTCGAAAAAACCCTCACACCATACAAGTTTTTTTTTGGAAAAAAAAGACTAAAAGGGCTAGATCGGAAAAAATGAAACAATACAAGGTCTTTTTCAGGCAAAAAATAAATTTGAGGTTTAATCCCGGAAAAAATTACAAAATATAAGGTCTTTTTTTGAGATTAACCCTAAGATATACAGGTGAAGTTTATTATAACAAAGCAATAACACCCCTGATGATGATATAGGGCTAAAAGCAGGAATAGCATCCTGCTTTCATTTCTTTCTAAAATTGCATTATATTTGAAATAATTTTAAAAACTTAACTAACCTTTTGGAAAGGTACATCACCTCCTAATTTCATCCCAAGCATCACCATACGAGCAACCCAAAAGAACAAAATGTCATGCCCGGTTTCAAGAACAGCAGTTGGATAAAAAGTCTTCAAATCTTGAGTATCATCAGGCCACCCCAATACAGATAATGGGAAAAGCCCTGAAGAAAACCAGGTGTCTAAAACATCAGGATCTTGAGACAACTGAAACTTTTTTCCTGAAAAGACCTTTTTAGCCTCAGTTTCAGCCTCTTTCTCATCCCTAGCAACCACCCAATGATCCATGTATGCTCCAAGCTCCTTCAGTTTATCATCCTCCAATGTCACATACCATGCAGGAACTCGGTGGCCCCACCAAAGCTGCCTTGATACACACCAATCACGAATGTTCTCAAGCCATCTGTAAAATTTTAAAAATTTTAAAATTAATTGCTGGAAACACCAAGATACTTTGGTTTATTAGTGTCCCATATACTTTGGAAATCCTCCCAATTGTAATTGGATGTGATTCATATAAGGGTTAATCTCAAAAAAGACCTTATATTTTGTGTTTTTGCCGGATTAAACCTCAAACTTTACATTTTGCCTGAAAAAGATCTTGTATTTTTTTATTTTTTCCGAAAAAGCCCTCAACTTTGTATCTTTTCCAAAAGGGTTAATCTCAAAAAAAGGCCTTACATTTTGTGTTTTTTAAGGATTAAAACTCAAATTTATTTTTTAGCTGAAAAAGACCTTGTATTTTTTCATTTTTCCCGATCTGGCCCTTTTAGTCGTTTTTTTCCAAAAAAAAAATTGTATAATGTGAGGGTTTTTTTGAGAAAAACTAAAAAAATTGAGGGTTTATTTGGAAGCATTTAGAAGGTTGAGGGTCTTTTCGGAAAAAAATATATATAAAATTGAGGGTTTTTTCGGAAAAAAAATGAAAAAATACAAGGTCTTTTTCATGCAGAAAATAAATTTGAGGTTTAATCTGGAAAAAACACAAAATATAAGGTCTCTTTTAAGATTAACCCTTAATATAATAACTTGGTAGATTTTCTGAGTGCAATGTTGTAGTAAGAAATTAAAGTAAGATGCTAATGCTATAATTAACAAATCAATGAAAGTATGTTGTCATGTCTTTCATTTAACCCTAATAATAGCAATATATAGATGTCAGGCATGAAAAGACAATCTATGAAACCAACAAAGAAAAATGAAGCTAAAAATGAGAATTTAAAGGAAGAATGAAAAACTAAAGAAGGTGACCTTTTCCATTCAGCAGCATACTGTTTTGGAAGTATATCAATTTTCTTGTTATTTTCATCCATTACAGCATCAAGAGCTTCTTTAGCAATACCATTGCAGCTGACATACCACTGAGGCTTAATCATAGGTTCAATCACATCATTGCTTCTAGAACAAACACCTAAACGCATCTCATTCTTTTCTTCCCCTTTATAAAGCCCCTGTATTCATACACATGACAAAGATAAGAAGGGTATTCACATCTTTTTGGGGTGGGACAAAAAGTTAACAAAGGTATTAAATACCTTAGATTTCAAAGCCTCAGTTATTGCCACACGAGCTTCAAAACGTGGCATCCCTACAAACCCTGAACCTCCATTACTGTTTATCTTCCCATCATCAGTAAAAATGTTAATGAACTCAAGTTTATGTCTCTTTCCAACTTCAAAATCATTCGGATCATGTGCTGGAGTTATCTGCATAAACAATTAAACACCATTAAAACAAAAAGATATGGTTAAAAATGTTTTTAGGGTTTAGGGTTTTTATTACCTTTACAGCACCAGTTCCAAATTTAGGGTCAACAAGAATAGCATCACAAACTATAGGAAGTCTTCTGCCATTAAAAGGATGAGAAGCAAACTTTCCATGAAGATGAGTGTATCTTGGATCTTCAGGATGAACAGCAATAGCAGTATCTCCAAGCATTGTTTCAACTCTAGTTGTAGCCACTATGATTTCTCCAAGATCTTCTTCTAAAGGGTATGCAAAAGAGGTTAAAACACCGAATTCCACCATGTTTTTGTACCCAGGGACCTTTAGAGGTGTCTTCTCTTTGATATCAATGTAGTCCACCTGTAAAAATGCAGGGGTAGAAATGTAAAATGAAAGTAATTGATGTGTATAAATGATGAGAGAAAGGATTTATGGTGTACCTCAATGTCAGATATTGCAGTTCTCAAGACACAATCCCAGTTGACTAGCCTTAGGTCTCTGAAGAAAAGGCAAAAGGGTATCCGAAAAGTTAAATTATAAAATGAGATGTCAATTAACAAAAATTTGAGGGAAAATAAAGCTTTTGTTAAATAAAAATTTGGGCCAAGTAAAAATGCTTAAAACCCTTGAAAAAACACCAAAGATGACTGAAATGATATTGAACTTTGTTGATGTGAATATTACCTATAAATAAGACCCTCCTTGTAAAGCCTGACAAAAGCTTCTGTTACAGCATTTGACCTTTTTTCATCCATGGTAAAGCACTGCCATTATTAAACAAAAATTTATAAACTTGTCATACATATAAGAAATTAAACATAATGATAGATCATCAAAACCTCAAATGAAATAGATATCAAATATATCTTATAGTTATCTTTGGAAAAATAAAAGTAGTTTAACTAATATTTCGAGTCTTTTCAAAAAAGATTTATATCATTGAGATTACATAATAAAAACAGGCTGCATTGTAACTTTTTATTTCATCCCATGATGAAATGGGAAAAACCCTATCCAAGGATAGAAAAATCAATCATTTTGAAGGAATATCATATTCCTTCATGAATAGTCCATTCAATTCCATTATAAAAACAAGCAGCTTTTCTCATTCCAACGGAATCAACAATTCCATTCCATTCCTTAGGTTTTACCTCACGTGACCAATCTAGAGATGCACCCAAACGCCTGAGTTGTTTCAATATGGTCCCACCATATTCCTCTTTCCATTGCCATACCTATCATTCATACCAAAACAACACAACATCTTTGAAGTTAAGTTTAACATGTTATCTTCCAAATTGATGATAAATAGTAAATAGTGTCACTTTGAAAGCAAGATATAACATGTGAAGTCAGACTCACTTCCTCTACAAACTTTTCTCTTCCCACATCATGACGTGTCATTTTTCTCTCTCTCATGATTTTCTTCTCCACTACCACCTGTCAATGAAACTTTGTTAGATAAACATAAGAAAACTAACAGTATATGTAATGATAGTAATATTTATTCCTTAAAAGTAAACTGAACCTGAGTTGCTATTCCTGCATGATCCATTCCAGGAACCCATAAGGTATTGTATCCTGACATTCTCCTCCAACGAATAATCGTATCCTACAATGATAATCAATATCAAATAAAATTGAAAAAAGGAAATTGTATAATTCATAAAAGATGAGGGTAAGTCATGAAACCTGGATAGCAGCAGTTAAAGCATGACCAATATGTAGAGCTCCAGTCACATTAGGAGGTGGAAGAACCTGCATTTACACATAAACAAAACATCCATAACCAAATTACATTAATCAATGCCTTTATACAAACAACAATCCCAAAACCAATCTGACTAAAAAGATCTATAGAAAGTAGAAACATCATTGTTTATGAATAGTTATGGAAACTTATGAAATAGCAGAGAAAATCACAAGTTAAGTGCTAGAGACTCACAATAGTGAAAGGAGGTTTAGAGCTGCTGGAATTTGCCTCAAAGAAACCTGACTGCTCCCACCATGCATACCATCTAGCAATGAGTAATTTTAAAATAAGGAATAAGATTACTGATAAAAGTATTTATCAATGAAATTTGAGCTAAATGATGTTGTAAAAGAAAAGGAATTCATAAAAAACTAACGATTTCTCCACTGCAACAGGAGAGAATTGCTTTGCCATTTGTTGAGAAAGTTTTTTCTTATCACCAGAAGGTGTTTCTGGATCTATATAGTCTTCTGGATTCTCTTCACTTGCATCTGCTCTTACTGTTTTCTTCTTACTGGCTTTTGAGATAGAAGGCCCTTGTTGTGCCTTAAATGTGTATAAATTAAATCAATTGATCATTAAACAAATATTATTACAGTTTCACTAAAGTAAGCTACTATACTACTTAACAATCTAAGGTTACCTTAAGTTTGGCTGCTTCCGCTTTTTGTGCAGCCTTCAACCTTTTCAATTCTTTCTCTTTTGCCTGATTACAAAAGAAAACAAAATGAACTTGAGTTCCTACTCAATACAAAGTTAATATCAGAAAGCCTAAGTAGAATCGAGTGGAGTTGAAAAAGTAAAAGGAGATACCTTCTCTTCTTTCTTCTTCTTCCTCTCACGTTCCTCCTCGGAAAGAAGCACATCCGGATTTGTGTTTGTCATGCTGGTGGCTGCGGTGGAACTTACAGTAGTTTCTTCTCCTGAAGCGGCTGATGAAAATCCAATTTGCGTTCTCTTTGCCCAGACGTTTTTATCGTATTAGCCTAAAACACATATGGGATACTTTTTAACAACAAAATCGATTTGAAACTAATCCTTCCTAAGAAAAAGCAGCTAAGCAAATAAGGATTCATACAAACAAGTAATACATCTCACAGTAGAACGCTCAATCTTACAACTATTTACACATCGATTATGCATTTGAAATCAAATTCAAAATCAAAAAGAGAGAAGATTTACGATCGCAGACGAACCAGAAGTATAGAGTATGGAGGCTGAGGAAGGGTTTGGGGTTTTTGTGCGTAAAATAAGAAGCTCTATAACTTATATTCGGAGAATTTAAATTTTTTAATAAAAGGCAATTACTGATCTATCCGAATTAAAAAAGAGTTTTTAGCCAAAAATTAATAAATGTCCGAATATAGTCCACGAAACTGTAGGTTTCGATATATTCGTCTACTGTTTCGTATTTTTTATAAAAAAAAAATCATATTTAAGATATAAAACCGTAGGTTTTTTAAAACCTACGGTTTGCTTTCGTTTTAGCTACGGTTTCCCAAACCGTAGCCTACGGTTTTGGGGAAAAATACGGTTTTTTTTTTCTTTTTTTTTCATTATAAATCCACGTTTTTGGGGGTTAATCTACTGTTTTGTTAAAAAATCTACGATTTTTTTTTTCATTTTTTTTTGTAATATAGAGTATTTTTTTTGAGAATTATTTTGATTAAAAATAGTGTTTATAAGATTTAGAATTATTTTAACAATTATTTTGTTAAAAAAATTTAGAATTGTTTATAAAATGTAGAATTATTTTGACAATTATTTTGAGAATTATTTTGCTAAATTTTTTTTGTAAATTTGACTACTTTTTTGTTAAATTTGACTATTTTTTTGTTAAACTTGATTACTTTTTGTCAAAGTTGACAATTGTTTTGAACCTACCCTATATATATTAAGTATTTCATATTTTTTAAAATATTTCATATTTGGGAAATTTTCTTCTCTCTAGCTTCTTTATTCTCCAAATTAAGATAATGAGTTGTAACGAGTATTTCGTATTGCTGATTACGGATGGAAGATGGGAATTTGTTAATTCTCAATTATCATATGTTTGGCCACCGGGATACAATCCGAGAATGTTTTATTTAGGTGTTGAATTTTACGAAACCACCACGTTCACCGATTTTGTTAATTTGGTGAAGTGCAAGATGGGTCTGCCCGAAGAATCAAAAGTCAGTCTGGCTTATTAACATCCAGAACAACTCTATTATTGTGGTATTGTTGATGATCGTGATATTAGAAAGTTGATCAAGGTAATAAATGTCGTTGGAGATAAATCTGTGTCTGTCTATGTGGTGGTTGAAGAAGGCGTTTGGCGTAACGAAGTGGATGATAGAGGAAAGGCATCTGCAGCTAATTTATCAAGTGGAAAATGGAGCAACAACCCAATAGGTAATTTTAAAAGTCTAAGTAAAAGTCAATATCATAGTGTCGCTGAAAATATAAATGTAGTGTCAGAACCGATTATGTATGTTACACCGGAGAATTATAAGTATATCAGTGATAATGATGTTGGTACATATGTTAATGATGTTGGTGTAAATCATTACTTTGACCAAAAAAAGCACTAGACGTGGTGAATAAGGTTGGTGATGAATCTTGAAAACAAGAAGTTCCATTTTTGCATGATGGTGAACTAAAAGGATATAGCGAGTTTGCGAATTGTGACAAGTTGGATATATCCGGCCTACAGAGTGATTCTAACGAAGAAGAATTTGATGATGAACCTAAACTTATTTATTCAGATACCGTGTTTCATGGTATGCCCCCATTGCCTTCGTGTCCTGTAAACGATGATGTGAACATTCCATGTCAGAGGGTGGATATAAATGAAGAGATTAAGGTTCTAGACATTTTTGATGACAAAGAGTTGCTCAAGCTTGCAATTGAAAGACAATGCATGGAACAATGTAAGCAATATAAGACTACCAGATCGAGCAAAGAAATGTTCGAGGTTGTTTGGTAAAAAATTGTTCTTGGATGGTTAGGGAAAGGGGAATCCAATCGACTACTGCTTTCCAAGTCACAAAAGTTGTTGACCAACACACATGTTGTGCAACAAACTTGGAGTCTAATCATCGACAATCAAAGAAAAAGGTACTCGGCCACTTTATCGTTGAAGTATTGGCCGGAGATTATAATAGAGTTTATAGGGGTAATGAAATTGTGAGGGACATCAATTCGAAATTTCCAATCAATATCTCATACCAACATGCATGGCGGGCAAACCAATATGCGTTGTTGATGTTAAGAGGTACCAAAGAGGATTCATTCACCAAACTACCAGCGTATCTGCACAACTTGGTCAAGCACAATCCAGGAACTGTTACTCAGATAAGAACAGACGATGATGATCGGTTTGAGTTCGTGTATATCGCGTTGGGTTGCTCGGTAAGCAGTGATAATTTTTATAACAAATATAACATATGAATCCTAATTGGTATTTGTTAATGCAATCAAAAATAATTGTAGGTACGAGCGTCCATCAAATATTGTAGGCCGACCCTTATAATTGATGGTGGTCACCTAAAGGGTGAATTCAAGGGTACGATGTTGCTCGCAGTGACAATGGATGGTCAAAACCAAATCATGTCTGTTGCTTATGCCATATGCAAAAGTGAATGTACGGAGACATGGTCCTAGTTCCTTCGAAAACTATGTGAATGTATAGGCAACGTGGAAGACCTTACAATCATATATGATAGGGCTCCATCCATAGCGACGTCAATTGCAATCCTCACGCCATCATGGAATATGTGGTATCCATTTGTATTTCAACATTTCAGCAAAATTGGAAGCAGCGATACAATACACTCATTATTTTGGGAGACATGCAAAGCCTATACTATTAAAAAATTCGATAATGGGATGAAAAAAAATTAAAAAGGTAAATGATCGTGCATGGGAATACCTACAAAACATCAATCCAGAAAGATAGGTCAGGGCACATTTTCCTGGGAATCGGTATTTTCTTATGACATCAATTAGTGCGGAGTCGATAAATTCAATGTCAAGATTTGCAAGAAAGATGTCAATATTGATGTTGATTGAGTTTTTTCGTGCAACAATGCAACAATGGAGTTTTTAGAAACGTAATGTTGCAGATACTAATATTTTATATATAATAGTACTTGAAATGTTATTTTACTACTCATATGATATTATGAAATTATGTCTATTTTTTTAGCTGAAGCAAAAACAACACTCACCCCATGGGCTGAAACGATTATACAAGCAAATAAGAATGCTTGTAATAATTGGATGGTGTACCCTATCTCAAATAGTAGATTTGAAGTGAAAAGCTCTACTCATAAAAGTGTCATTGTTGATTTCCAACAAAGAACCTGTACATGTAGGCGGTGGCAAATAGATGGCTTACCTTGTGGCCATGTCATAAAAGTACTCACAATGAACCGTTACGAAGACTGTTCGGAATTTGCTTTAAAAACTTACTTTACAGAGACACTGAGGAAAACTTACGAGGAGTCTGTGAACCCCTTACCAAGTCCATCTGAATGGGAGATGCCCGATGATTTGATGACTGTGAAGCCATCCATAAAGGAGAGACGTCAACCGGGTAGGCCAAGAAACACTGGTCGTATTTCGTCGCAAGGTGAGCGTCCCATACGACAAGAATGTTCTACATGCGGTCAATTTGGACACACGAGGAACGATTGTACGGGTAGGGGATCGGGGAGCGGATCTGGGGGAGGAAAAAATCGTCACAAAAGGGCATAATGACTGATGAATTCGCATCCGGAAGCGGGTCACAAAACGAAAGCGTGTACCCTAATTTTGATTTCAACAACACATTTGATTTAAATTGTCCTTAGATTAATGTAGGAAAGTAATGAATTCCCGTATTTGTAATTTGTATTGCTTGTATTAAACTGCACTTCTGAGATTATTAATTAAATCTAGTAACCCACTTATTATCTACTTTATTCCATGAAAAATAAAACACAAACATAAAACATTATAGAAAACGAGATACACCAGTAGCAAACATTACATAAGACATTTCACATATAAGAGCCTTCTACATGAAATATTTGTTATTTTCAACTAGAATCCATGCATCCTCATACTCGAAGTCACTTCCCTCGTGCTCCAAAATGTAATGATCTTTAACCATTTCTAAAAGATCTTCGTCGTTGTTTGGACAACGATACTTATTTTTAAGATGATGATACCATCGATTGAACCATGTGATTTTTTCCTTTAAATCCATCCACTTACCAACAATATCTTCTTGTGTTCGGTGTTTTCCTTCTCCCAACGAGAGGTTAAACATAGTTGTTATGCGGGTCCATTCATCACCTTCAAAGCAGTTAGGGTTAACCATGGTTGTTACATCATCGTAAATGTTCATCCAACATCATGTTACCACCATTACCTCTCTTATCGTCCATGGATGTGGACTATTGGACGGAGCAGCTGCATTGGAAGAAGTTGCTTGATTGGAGGCCACTTTTTAAATTTGTTTGTTAGTTTGTTTTAATTTTATAGGAATACTTAAATAAGAAAAAAGACTGACAAACAATTAGGTGGATTTCCAGAAGTACTGTTTGAAACTACATTATGCAGTCTACAAAGCAGTAGTCATAGTCTATGAAACCCTAGTCAAATAATGTCAAAGAGTACTCCAATTGTCGGATACCTTACACGGAGATACTGTTTAAAACGACAGATATATTGTTCGAAAAGACAATACATTATGCAGTCTACAAAGCAGTAGTCATAGTCTATGAAACCCTAGTCAAATAATGTCAAAGAGTACTCCAATTGTCAGATACCTTACACGGAGATACTGTTTAAAACGACAGATATACTGTTCGAAAAGACAATACATTATGCATGCTACAAAGCAGTAGTGAAAGTCTATGAAACCGTAGTCAAAAAATGTGAAAGAGTAGTCCAATTGTTAGATACCTTACACGGAGATACTGTTTGAAACGACAGATATACTGTTCGAAAAGACAATACATTATGCATGCTACAAAGTAGTAGTCAAAGTCTATCAAACCCTAGTCAAAAAATATGAAAGAGTAGTCCAATAGTCAGATACCTTACACAGAGATACTGTTTGAAACGACAAATATATTGTTCGAAAAGACAATACATTATGCAGGATACAAAGCAGTAGTCAAAGTCTATGAAACCGTAGTCAAATAATGTCAAAGAGTAGTCCAATTGTCAGAAACCTTACACGGAGATACTGTTTGAAACGACAAATATACTATTCGAAAAGACAATACATTATGGACCTTGCCTTTCCAGCTCCTACATACATATGTGTCCGCATGTGGTAAGCCCCTTACCTCCACAAACTTAGGCACACTAAGTAATTGGTAATTGTCTCTTATAACTGATTCGAAATGAGTGTCTCTGATAGTGATCATGAAGAAAGCTTTAAAAACTTGCATGTTTACCTTCATAACCTAAGGCGAACCAACCCGCATACTCACACTCACATCAAAACGGATTTGATGGATCGTTTCCAATCCTGTTTTCTGGCTATTGGATGGGTGGTATATTTGTTTTCCAAATTTCTATTGTTTCTTTACATTTGATAATGTTTGTACATTTAAACTAATTGGTTTGCACTCTTAAAAAATACAGGTCCATGCATTCATAAATTGTTTCTTGTCTGTCATCTTCATATTCATAGGTAGTGTCCGTCTTAGAGGGGACTACCTAAAAACAATGTTTGTAGCGGTTGCTAAAGATGGGAACAATCTGACTTTCCCTATAGCATTTGGTATGGCGGTTGAAAGTAATCTGGTAACTTGTACCTGGTTCCTGATGAGGTTAAAAGAAAGTCTCAGAGAGGGTAAGGAAGTAGCGTTCATATCCAATATGGACGATATCGTTAGTTCTTGCGTAGATAATGTTTTCACTGATTCTTATCATGGTTACACTTGTAAAAGCGTCCACAAATATTTACGCACGAGAGTAGGCTATGGAAGATCATTGGAAAATTTGTTCTGGATAACATTAAAATCCTACACTATGTCTATTTTTAAACAAAAATTTTCTATGCTAAGTCGTGATGCTCGTGAAGTGCTTACGAATATCGGTCATCCGAAATGGGCAAGAGCCTATTTCCCTATCATCTGTTGGAATGTACTCAACATGGAAGTTCCTCAATATTTTTCAGTATTATCGCTCAGTCAACATAATGTACCAATAATAGCGCTTATCGAGGGAATTCGTGAGTACATGCAAAATACTTTTGTTAAACGAAGTATAATGACATGTAAATTTTCTGGTGCAATATAAAAGTATTAAATAGGTAGTACAACAACCTTTTATAACCATATTTATTTTTCAGGGAGTTTGACTACTGTACTAACACCGTATGCTCAAATGGTGCTTCAAAGAAGGATGCAAAAGTTTGTTGGTTGGCAAGCAACACAGATCCCCCAACAGATCTCGTCTCCCATGCCAACATATGTTTATCTAGTTTCTGATTTTAAAACAACTTGTGTTGTAGACCTTAACGGTCATACTTGTTCATGTGGCAAATGACACAGTCTCGGTATAGCATGTGGCCATGCTATCGCAGCAGCACGTGAATCAAACATGCATGAAATGTTGATATGGTTCAAGTATATTACCATACTGATGTATTTCAGCTCGTCTACCAGACACAAAACATTCACCCTCTTCCCCCACCATCTAAATGGGAAATACCGGACCCTTTGATGGCTGTTTATTGCCAATGTAACTTTTATTCCCTTTAAATAATGATGTTTGTAATATATTTGTCATTGTCTATGTAATATATTTGCTATTGTGTTTGTAATATATTTGTAATATATTATGTTTGTAATATATTTGACATTGTGTTTGTAATATATTTGAAATATATTATGTTTGTAGTATATTTGGCATTGTCTTCGTAATATATTTTCCATTTGTTTGTGATGTTAAAAACGACATAAAATAACATAAGTTGCCATTTTTAGGTTACCATAAAAGTATGTTTTTAAGCTTGATTTTCATGTTTTATATGTTGGTTACGTTCTTTGTACATAGTTGTTCGTCGGAAAATATCCGGATTTCAAATCCGATAT